GGGGGGGGGGGGGGGGGGGGGGGGTGATAGTCGAGTGAAAGGTCTGCAAGTCTTAGGTTTACTTGATTTTTGGGAGAATTTGATATCCATTCATTCTTTTTTGTACACTGACTTCTCTTACTGCAAATATCTGTGCCAAAGAGGAAAGACTAGAAAAGTTCAACGACAATATGATTCCATGCTTATCTAGTTCAGTTGTGCGTTGGTATATATTCTTTTGCATTACAAGTTGCAATATGAGTTGTGTTGTAGTGATTGTCCTGCATGTTTTTGTAGGACCTTGTTGAGCGGATACTAGCCATTCTTTCTGATGAGCAAGGTAAGAACTATAAATTTTCTTCTTTATAATCACACTTAAGTACAATCGACCCTTATAGGGTCCTTTCACTCATGAATGAACCTTAATACACTGGATTCTATTTCATAATTCTTCGGCTGGAATACGTTGAAGGCCTTAAATATGTGCAATTCTGTTATATTGATTGTTCCATTTTGCATGTCTTGGTTCAGAGTTCAATATATGAATGTTAAGGTCTTGTGTTCAATTTTTTGGTTAACTAAACGAAAAATTCTTTGGTTTCTCCTGGTATTATGCATTGATGACTCCATTGTTTTACATCTGTTAACTTAAGTTTTAGTTAGTTTATAGCTTGGTAAGACCTGTGTTTTCTGTATAATCAATATCTTTTGCAATTATTTGTTTCAGTTTCAAAAATGTGGGCAAAGAAAAATGCTGTTGGAAAGGATCAAGTGGCAAAACTAGTTGAAGACACGTACAGGTTTGTCTTCTGGTGTCATATTTTTCTTCCAGGTTTTTCTTGACAAATTTCGTTTAATTCAATAATTATTCACATGTTTATGTTTCATAAATATATCATATCTTGCATTCATCTCAAGTAGTGCTTTCTTTTTCACATTTTTTTATTCCTTTTGTATGCCCAACTGTCATCTTTTATTTGTTTCATCTTCTTACTTATGTGATTTTCTTACACAGAAAGATGCAGGTTTCTGGGGCCACGGATTTAGCTTCTAAGGGTCAAGGTGTCTCAGACAGTAGTAATGTGCAGGTAAAAGGTGAAACAGATGATTCTTTGCAATTAGATACAAAGGTTCGATGTCTCTGTGGAAGTGCTTTGCAAACAGAATCAATGATTAAGGTCTATCAAACCATTCCTTTTATGCGTTTTTCCTCATAAGTTCCTCCATGTTTTTATTTATTTATTTATTTTGATCCCATTCATGGTTCCATCTGCCTTGAAACATCAGTTACTTCTGTTCACCAGTCGTTTTTTATTTTTGGCAGTGTGAGGATCCACGGTGCCAAGTATGGCAGCACATTAGTTGTGTTATAGTCCCGGAGAAACCTACGGAAGGAAATTCACCATACCCTGAACACTTCTATTGTGAGATCTGTCGACTCAATCGTGCAGACCCGTACGTATCTACTACAGTTGTATTTCATTTAGACTATTGGGTTTCATATGAAAAAATTTAGTTTATAGGCTTCTTATTTGTGGAATTAGGGGGTACAGAATATATGTTTGCCTGTGTTTTGTAATCCATTCCAATAATTATTTTCTTTTATTTTGTCCTTCCCATGTGAATATCCATATGGATTTGTGCAATAGAGGGTTATGAGGTTTATTGTTTGCTTGAAAGTATCTTCTTCCTATGATTTGATATTATGAAGTACAAACACTTCAGTTTTGCTAGTGTGTCCGTGTCAGACACTTGGACAATCCAACACTTGCTGGACATGTATCAAATACTTGTTAGTGCAATAAATATGTTAGACACTACAAAGTTAAAGTAGGTCCAACATTTACTAGACATGCATCGAACACTAGTTAAGTATACTAAATAGACACATATATGACAAAAATAATAAATTTTGAGCGTAAAAGACATCAAACTAATTTTTAAGCATATAAATGCATAAACTCATTGACTTTGATTTTTCATCGGGTGTAAAAATGATATTTATTTGAAATTTTTTTTTTAATGAGCATGTTCTTGTCGTGTCATGTCCTAGATTGTAAAAAAGCACGTGTCAGCATGTCCATATTGTGTTATAAGTAGCTTATGTTGTCGACATAAACTGGCTTTATAGGAAGCAGAAATATTTGAAAATAAAATATTAAAAATACTTTGGTGAAGGGCATGATTATACAAGAACAGTCTAATTAGGATTGGATCAGTTTACAGTAACCTGTATGTTCATTAAAGCAATTATAAACAGTTTCTAATAAGAGTTAATTAACTAATGTTGTTTTGTTTTCTTCTCTGATGATGTATTTTCTAATATTCTTTTCTACAGTTTTTGGGTTTCAGTTGCACATCCTCTGTTTCCCGTAAAGCTGATAACCACAATGTCTACAAACATTCCAACGGATGGGTGAGTTCACATTTATTGACTTCTGATTCAGGATATTCTGTATCCCACATCTCTGGAAAAGAAAAAGAAACCTGAAAGCACCGTTTTTATGTGTGGATACAATTGTTAGTTTAAGTTTAAGTAGTATGTCATTTCTGCTATTTCTTTTTGGTGTTGACTCGGTAACATCTCATGAAATTATTCACTTCATGATATTTGTGGACTAATTTGAGCGCTCCCTTGTAACTTCACTTAGCCACAGGTCTAGGCTATCCTCTCCTTGTTTTTGCAGATTTCATTATGATAGTGAAATGTCCTGTTTCTTTTCAAAAAAGTTTAGATGATTATATTTACATTTTAAGAGTTGGAAGTAACTTAAACGAATGGATGAAGGATCAAATGCTGGAGAGGATTATCTCAATTACTGAAAAATGCAGTTTCTTTGATCTACACTTGACCAAACTAAAGCATTTTATATGCCATTAAGAAGTTCTCTTTGGGTTTATATATGCAAAGAGGTTTTTGAGGCTTTTGGTACAGAACCATTGCTTTCATCATTTGGTCGTTCAGTTACAACAGCAGGTTTTTATCATAGAGGAGGTGATGAGTTATTATTAATTTTTTTGGGGTAAGGAACTGAGCTCGTGCCAAACTTTGTTTTCTTTGGAACAAATTAAGTTTCCAGGTTATGAATTTGGGAGACCATTTAACATTATTAGTTATGTTTGCAGACAGAGTAATTGGTCTTTGAGCCTACATTACTTAATGTGGAAGTTTCATAGGCATATCTTTATTTTTACATTTCTACATTCACATTATTGCTTTACTTGCTTTTGATCTTGGACATACACTTTTGATTGCTGATGTATGAACTATGCATGTGGTACCCCACCACTTTTATTTCAGTTTTAATGTTGCACTTTTCCTCACATCCCAGATTGTATATAAAATGGTTTTCTGTATTGTGCATGATGGGCCTCTTGTACAAATTTGTAGTACAAATCCAATGCAGAGTGTGGATAGAACGTTTCAACTCACGAGGGCAGATAAGGACCTACTTTCTAAACCGGAATACGATGTTCAGGTTGGTTGGTGCATCATATGATTGAATCTCTTTCCCTGTAAACTGATTGATTTCTTGAACTGAGTATGTCTTGATTATGTTAGGCCTGGTGTATGCTTTTGAACGATAAAGTTCCATTCAGGATGCAATGGCCTCAGTATGCAGACTTACAAATTAATGGTATGTTATTATTATTTTTTTATAAGAAAATTAAGGCTATGTTATTAATTTGTCGCTCTATGTATCAAAACTGTAATTGCCAGTTTTGTGATTGTACTTATCTATTTATGTATCAAAACCATAGTTGCCAATTTTGTGAGTACTTATCTATCATATTTGTAAGTATGTAACTAAGTACGTCCGCCTTTAATTCTTGATAAATTGGTTGTTGCATTACGCATGTGTGATTGAGGATCTCTACTATGCAGTAGGACACTTCATTTAGTGTTGAGGAACAAATTTTAATGGCTTCACAGGTTTGGCTGTTCGTGCCATTAATAGACCCGGCTCTCAACTTTTGGGGGCTAATGGTCGTGATGATGGCCCAATTGTAAGTTCCCATGCTAAATTTCAAATTTCCTTTTTTTCTACTGGAACAATTATATTTTCTTCAACACCTATCTTTCTGACTCGTTTGTTCTGTCAGATCACAGCATGCACGAAAGATGGAATGAATAAGATAACATTAACAGGGTGTGATGCTCGAACTTTTTGTTTAGGGGTTCGAATTGTGAAGCGACGCACTGTTCAACAGGTTATTTTTTTTGGATCAATGAAATGCTCGGTTCTCTATAAAAAATAATTTTTTTGGGAACCATTGTTAAATGTTTGACTAGGTTTTGGATTCTTTTGGATATCATTTTGGACCACCTTTTTTTAAAAATTTCTTTAGCTATATTTAGAATACATTTTTTTAGCGGTGCAGTTTTCTAAGACAAGTACTTTATTCTTATACATTGTGTCATTTCTTGTTCTGTATGCATCTCCATAGAACTGAACTTTCCTTTCTCATTAAGTTACTAATTTCTACAGCCATAAGAAAATTTTGTAAGGGGGGACAAATGGTGATGAAGGCTTCTTGGGTAGATGGGTTGTGGTTACTAACCCTTTACCTGGTGGTGGTTTAGGCATTGAGATTGTATTTATAAGAATGTTGCTATTAGGAAAGTGGTGCTTGAGACTATCTTGAGGGATAAGCATTTTGGGCATTATTTGTGAGAGGTAGATTGAAATTGGGTGCGTGAGAGAGGGAGATGGCTGGAAATAGAAGGCTAAAAAAGAATGTTGGAGGTTTTTCTCACATTATAAAGGAGAGGGGAGTGGGACATGTTACAAATGCGCACATGTTTGTATTCTTTTTCATTTCTACTTTTTTTTTGTCTATTACAAATGTTGGCTTTTGTTATCACTAGTATCTCATTTCTACTTTTCTTTTTAATTTTTTTTTTTTAATCTCTATGCACGTTTGTTTACATGTGTTTTTTCTTCTTTAGATTCTAGGCATGATTCCTAAGGAGTCAGAGGGTGAACGTTTTCAAGATGCTCTTGCTCGTATTTGCCGTTGCATTGGTGGTGGGAACACTGCAGATAATGCTGATAGTGATAGTGACTTAGAGGTTGTTGCAGAATTTTTTGGGGTTAATCTACGCTGTCCTGTAAGTCTCGTGCCATTTACTGAAAGACGTTATTCTTCTACATCATATTATCATCCTTATCATTTGAGATATTTGTGAGAAGGGGAAGGAGGAGAAGTGTTTCTCAAGCCTTTATGTATTATGCTTATCACCTATTCTTTTTCTCTTTGAAATGTTACACACTTTAAATTGGTTCACCGGAGTTGGCTAATGAAATTCCAACAGAAGGGAGAGGATAGCCAAACCCCAAAAGAAGATCACAAAAACTCTTCTAGTGCACATTAAGAGAATTCAGACTATCACTATTTTGTTTATTTGGTAAGAAACTTAGCTTTCATTGAAATAAAATGAAAGAATGCATGAGTGCATACAAAAAACAAACCCACCAAAAAGGATCCAATACAAGCTACAAGAATGGACTTCAATCTATAAGAGACTATGACCAAGCTGGTAGTTATAAAAAGTTCGATTGATGGACATGCATAAAGAAGAATTAAATATAGCCAACTGTATAAGCTCCTAATATCACTCAACCCCTCTAAAGATCCTATTATTCATTTCATGTGAAATTCCTCACAAAACAGCAAAAAACAAAAAGCTTGATTCAAAACTTCCCCTCTTATCCAAAAAAGGAGGGTGCAAGAGAGCCTCCTCAAACTAAAAACGGCACTCTGTTATGAGCTCACAACTTCAAAAGACCTGGAAAACTGGCTCCAAAAGGTGGCGAACTTTGATTATCATTGTTAAGAGTAGCAATGACATAAAATCTGCACCAAGTAGGCAACAAAAAATGAAATCATCCAAAGACAAGAAAAGAAACCTTTTCCTAATTGTTAAAATTGTTGTTTTCTTTCAAATCACATGCTCCTGAAGAAAGCTCTTATACGTTGTACCAGATTTTTGTTTCTTCTTTAAAATGACAATCCAAAGTGAATATCAGGAGGTGGGTTTTATCAATTGGGGGGCGCTGTGCCAGTTGGTAAAAGCATGAGATTCCACATTCGATCAATAAAGTGGCATTCCAAGTTCAAGAAAAAATGGCTTTGAGATTTAGCTTCCTTTTCACAAGGGAACACTGTTTGGAGGGAGAAGGGTGCAACAAGGGAGTCTTCTTTGGATATTGTCATGCTTGTTAATTCCCACATAAACAAGTTCCCACAAGCAGAATTTTACCTTTTAGGGTATGTTGGAGGACATGCTGATGAGGAAACATTTCTTCATTGTCAAAAGGAAGTTGAATAGGCGTTCTCTTTTTCAGAAAGTGTTAAGGATATTAAGAATGCTTTTATAAAAGCACATCCCTCCTATTATACAAGAAAAAAAAGCTCAGTCATTTCAAGTGCTACATTTTTCGATCTTGACAATGCTACAGACAGCGATTTTATTTGAAGGAAAATGCATTCTTATTGGGAGCTTTTGCAAAAGAATCCAATTGGATGGACATGGTTTCATTCTCAAACAGGAAGAAATTAGAGTGCTGCTCTCTTTAGTTTTCCCTCATTTCTTCTACTCCCATAGTTGACAAGGGTATTTCAAGGAGAGTAATTTGTTCAACTGTGGAAGTTTCCAAAAAGTGAAGTTTTCGGGGGAGATTTTGATTCTAACGAAGAATCTGTAGTTAGTCCAAGTAGTAATCTCATTTGGAGTTCAATTCTCCAATTGTCCTTGCAAGAAAAGATATCAATGAACGAGGCTATTGAAGGATCTCTTTGTAATTTTTTTCAAGAAGAAATCAAACCTCTTTTGAAGAATTTGTCTTTTGTTGCCTTCATCTCTTCTTCATGAAGATGCATTAGAAGATACAAGACAAATTCAATCATCAAACAATAAGCTCTTGAACTTTACTTACAAGTCATTTTGGCCATAAAGAATCTTGGATCTAATCAATCACTCGGTTCAGATGAATACATGACAAAGTTCTATATCTTTAGAGGAATTGAGGGGGAGCTTATGACGTGTGGCCCCTTGCAAGGTTCTCTGGCTCTCTCTGGGCGTCGATAACAAATTTTTTTTGTGTAATTATTTCCTAGGTTTTATTCTTCCTGATTGGAGTCATTTCCTTTAATTGGACTCCTTTTTTGTCTCCACGGCAGAGTTCGACAAAATATATTGGAACATCCTTAAAAAAGACATTATGAGAGTGTTACAGGATTTTTCTTAAGACCCGAATCATAAATACAAGATTAAACGAAATATACCTATTGCCTTTACAAGATCATAGCTTGAGTTCTTTGTGAAACGTTAAAAAAGTTCTTCCCTCCACCATCACTAAGGATCAATATTCATTTGTGGATTGTAAACGAAGTTGTGGGGGAGTGTGCCAAAAGGAAGGCCGTGGTTAAGCTTGACATCAAGAAGGCCTTTGGCAAAGTTGAATTGAGTTTTCTAGATTTAACCCGTGACTAAAGGCTCTGGTGAAACATGTAGAAAATGGATCAAAGGATGCATATCCTTGCCAAATTTCTCCATCGTTATTAATGACTGCCCCAGTGGGTAGACACATGCCCAAAGAGGCCTCAAGCAAGGTGACCCACCCTCTCCTTTTCCTTTTGTCTTTATTTTTTTTCACAAAAAACATGAGGTATAAGCATAAATTAGAGTCAAATCCTTTTTGTCATTATCAGTTTGTGTTTTTTTCTCCAATAAGAAACATGAGGTACAAGTATAAAATAAAGCTGAATCATTTTTCCATGTTAGATGTGTCTGGCAGAGATATATTTGAAAATGCTCTATACACATGTTCGACATATGAACATGTGTGTGCGTTTTTTTTTTTTTTATATATATAAAATTACATCCAAAGTATCACATTGAAAACCCGAACCTCTCAAGCAATCAATGATGTCATGGGTAGAGGTGGTTGACGATGGTGTTTGGTCAGACGATTGGGGGCAGGGCGATGACAAAGTTCATCGGAGAGGGAAAGAGATTGAGCAAAGGTGGGTAGAAGTAGAATTTAGGAAGGGGGAACGGAACAGATTTGTGAGGGTTAATTCCTAATGGTTGTTTTTAATAAATTTTTATTTTATGGGGTTTCAATGTGCTGTGGGATTTTGTCTTTTTGGGCTTTGAGTGGGCTCATGGGCTTTTATGCACCGTTTAAAATTTAAACTAAATTCAATGGACACATAATCTTCGTTCACTTTTTATTATTATTATTTTTTTTAATAAAAGATTTTCTTTATTTTTTGTAAAAGAACTAAAAGTAATTTGGGTTATAATCTCTGAACAGTTTTTAACCTTTTCATCAATCAATGAAGTGTAAAGTTTATTTCTTGTTTTAATAAAGAAACTTCGTTCTTGATGGGTCTTTTTTTTTCTTTTCTCATTTCATTTGGTAAGTTGTCTTGAAAATTGAAACTCCATATGAGAGAAGAGCTTCCAAGCTTCTTTAGTGGTAATCTTGGAAGAGGTTGCTACTGGGGAGTCGTTTTTTGGATATTGGCATGCATGCGAATACTCTCGTTTATAAGTTCACACAATAAGAATTTTACTTAGGGTATCTTGGAGGACATGCTTATGAAGGAATTATTGCCACAATACTCTGATCATCTGCAAATAGGAGATTACATTGTTCATGGATGGATATTTCATCAGTGGCAACTATTCAAAAAGTACAACTAATCCTACTTCCCCTTCCTCTTTGTGGGATTATTCTGGGCTTTGGATGGTCTGTGGTTCTTCCCACTGATATAATGCTTGGTTATCCTTGATCTTACGTGATCATCCTTTCCATTATGCAACGGAGATGCTTTGGCTTTGGTTTTGGTTTCATTTCAACATAGCCTTTATTTGGTTGCTATTGAATGAGAGGAGCTACATAATTTTCCTGATAAGAAGACATAAAAAATTCCATCTAAATCTCTTTCTGTTTCAGCTTTATCATGGTGTAAAAATGTCTCCCCCTTTTGCAATCATGGCACGAGCACTCGTTTAATTAGTAGGAGGCTTTTGTAACTTCCTTTGAATTGGGTTTTCACCCCCGTATAGTTTCATTAAATCAATGGAATTGTTTCTTGTCCTAAAACAAAGTGGTGATAATAATAATTGATGATCATAATACGGAGATCGAATTTATCTTGGAAAATAGTTTGGAACCAAGTGACTGGTCTAGTGGATCATATAACCGTCTGGATATGGAGAACCTATGGTTCACGGTTATCTGAGTAGTGGTTCTGCTCACTTTTAACTATCAATTTTTTAATTACCTTTACCTTGGGCAATAAAGTCAATCATGTTGCAGTATTAAGCTTTGTTCATGCACCATATGCATATACCATGTTCCTCACAGTTTTGAAGAATATACCACATTTCAGATGGATTCTGAAGTTGCAAGGTCTAAGCTATTTTTGCAGTGTGAACTTAAGGTCAACGAACGAATGTTACAGAGACTTGACATTGGTTAGATGGTTTCACTAACTAAATTTTGGTTGTTAAACTGAAGTGAGTGTAAATGCTTATATGGGATACCCATCAGCTTGTAATTTGGTCAATTCTAATTGGCTGACTACTGGGTATTACTGATGTGCATGCATATCCACTTCCACAGAATTATTTTTGTAAGGAACATTGTAGCAAGAATTACCTTAAATACTGTGCAATCAAGGAACTGAAGCTAGAGTGCGAACTCATTTTTCAGCTAGAATGTTCTTACATCTTTTTGGATACTGGCGTACCTTGTGTTGCATAAATCATTTATTAATAGTAATCTGCATTTTTCCTTTCTGTGCTTCTGTTCTCTAGATGAGTGGTTCAAGGATGAAGATTGCTGGACGATTTAGTCCTTGTGCTCATATGGGATGCTTTGATCTTGAAGTGTTCGTAGAATTGAATCAACGTTCAAGGAAGGCAAGTTGTTACATCAATTTCTGATGCAAACCTTGTTCTCATGTTTAACTCTTTGTATTTTTACTGCAGTGGCAGTGTCCAATTTGTCTGAAGAACTATGCATTGGAGAATGTTATTATAGACCCTTATTTCAACCGTATAACATCTATGGTAATGTGGTAGGCATTCTTCATCTACGTTTTGACAATGAAATTGATTTAATGATATTATATTACGGTTGTACAGATGAGACATTGTGGAGAAGATGTTACAGAAATTGAGGTTAAGCCTGATGGTTCCTGGCGTGTGCGGTCAAGAACTGAAAGTGAGCGCAGGGAACTTGGTGATCTTTGCCTGTGGCACTCCTCTGACGGCACTTCGTGTGTTACTAATGAGGAAGTTAAACCAAAGATGGAAGCATCGAAGCAGATAAAGCAGGAAGGTGGATCAGATCGTGGTCTGAAACTTGGCATCAGGAAGAATAGTAATGGATTTTGGGAAGTCAGCAGACCTGAAGATATCAATACTTTCACTTCTGGTAGTAGATTACCGGAGAATTATGGGGGTCATGACCAGAAGATTATCCCAATGAGCAGCAGTGCCACAGGCAGTAGGGATGGTGAAGATCCAAGTGTAAACCAGGATGGTGGTGTAAACTTCGATTTCTCAACCAATAATGGGATTGAGATGAATTCCCTGTCCTTACATGTTGACTCAGAGTATGGATTTACTGAACAAAATCCTATTGCTCCTGTAGGTGAAGTCATTGTTCTAAGTGATTCAGATGAAGAAAATGACATTTTAGTTTCCTCTGGAACTGTTTATCAGAGCAACCATACAGATGCAGGTGAGATTTCTTTCTCCATGCCACCTCCTGGACTCGCTGATGCATATCCTGAAGATCCAACCCTATTATCGGCTGGAAATTCATGCTTGGGTCTTTTTAATTCCCATGACGATGAATTTGGCATGCCTGTTTGGTCATTACCCCCTGGAGCTCAAGGAGGTGCTGGATTCCAATTGTTTAGCTCTGATGCAGATGTATCAGAGGCTCTAGTTGACTTGCAACATGACTCCATTAATTGTTCCACCATGAATGGCTATTTAGCTACCCCAGAGGCAGCTATAAGTCCCGCATCTCTTGTTCCAGGTTCTTCAATTGGTCATACTGATGGTGAAATGAATGACAGCTTGGTTGATAATCCATTAGCTTTTGCTGGTGATGATCCATCTCTTCAAATATTTCTTCCTACCAGGCCTTCAGTTGCCCCTATGCAGTCTGATTTCAGAGACGAGGCTGATGTATCAAATGGTGTTCATACTGAAGATTGGATCTCTCTCAGGCTTGGGGGTGATGCAGGCGGTAGCAATGGGGGGGAGTCCACAGCCTCCAGGGGTTTAAATTCAAGACAGCATATTCCATCAACAGGAGGCGAAATCAATTCATTGTCTGATACTGGTTAGTTGTTTTCCGTTTTCCCTCCTGTTAGTGTGAATGCGAATTGTAGTTACTGCAATGTTTTGCCTGGAAGTGTTTTATTTTCCTTTCTTTTGGACCTTGACTTCACAGACCATGTTCATTTTCTTTTGGATCTAACAATTTCTTAAGGTGCGAATTATTAATCTATAGTTTTAGTAATTAGCAATGACATCTTGAAAGATGGGAATGCTACAAAAACTGATAAAGTTCTTAATTAGAATAGCTAAATTTGTTGGGACATATTTTTCTATCCTCGACCAGGAGGTTAGAGGTTCAAATTCTGTCTCCTGGTTGTTAGAATTATTATTATTATTATTGTTATTTTGTGATTTTTTTTATACCAAAAGCATGCACATACCCAAAATTGGGTTCTTGCAGAATGATTTGTTTATGCATACATATCGTTTTCTGGCTGTTTTTCATTATCTTGCTCATATACTTCATTAATAATTTTAGAAAGAACATGCCCAAAAGATTTCTGAAATTATACTCGTGGAGAACCATTTTGTAACCTTAGCAGAGGCTCTACTCCCCCTTGTATGTTTCATCAGAATTAATGAAATCATGTTTCTGTAAACTTCTTTTAAAACCTACTACTGAATTCCAGCTTCTCTCGTTTCTGCATTTGTATATATTCATAATTCTGATGTATTATTGTTGATTTTGAGGCTAACTAGTTACATTCTTGCATCAGCTTCTCTGCTTCTTGGAATGAATGATGTTAGACATGACAAAGCAAGTAGGCAAAGATCAGGTAGTCCTTTCTCATTCCCTCGCCAGAAACGTTCGGTCAGACAGCGGATGTTCCTTTCTATAGACTCCGAGTCAGAGTAGGCTTTGGACTTTAGGTGACCAAGAATTGTTACTGCTCTCATTTGAATTTTTTTCTGGGGATAGGCAAGACCGTACATATTCATTTTGGTCCATCTCATCTTCAAACTTCAAAGTATTTTCAATATTTTGTGGGAAAGAAAGTCGTTACACTCATTGTGCTCATAAGCGAGCCATCGTCGTGAAATGAAACTAGCGAAAGCAATCTGGCCAGTCATTTGGGAAATAGGTAGATATGGGACACCTTACCCCAACATCAACTCTCTTCACTCCTGACGGCTAGTCCTGAGATGGCTGGCAGGCTGGTAGGATGGCTTGTGTGTGTAGTGTGCGGGGTTAAACTGTACAGAGAGATGTGGTCACATGAATTGGGTAGCCGTCATGTAATACAAATTTTTTCCTCTACGATGAGAGCAATTAGCTGTAAATAGCTTTGATTGAGATTTAGTTTATTTATAGAAATTAATTTTACACCAGAAAGCAAGTTTTAATGTTTTACTTGGCCTAATCTTTTCTAGATTTTCGAAGGGTAATGAGGTAGTGCTTTTTTCATGACCAAGTCTTGGTAAAGGTAAAGAGTGAATGCTTCTCTTTTTGTTGCTAATTGTTCGAAAATACTTCGAAAATCGATAAGGAATTCGTGTATATCTATTTTCTAGGTTGTTTCTAAATATATCTTAAAAAAAAATTCATTATGAGCCAATATGATGAACAGAAGTATATGTTGTAAAAATAAGACCAACAACCCAATGATTCCCTCGAATGGAGGGTGAATGAAAATTAAAAATCTTTCAATTGTTGGGACATGAAACACATCGGAGATCCATGTGCCGGTATAGAGGTTTTGTTGAAATTGCAAAAAGAAAAGTTTTGTTGAGATTGTCCTTTTATCGCATTCGCCACACGTGTACCATCACTATGAAATTAATGGACTTTTACCTATCATATCATAATATATATCATATCATTTTATAAACATCTCACACATATCGAACATATGATACGTGTTATCATATAAAACACAAACTTCTAACCATGGTGATAGTAAAATTACTTAGTTGGCCTAGGTTCAGAATTACTAATTATTCTTTATACTAGTTTGAATTTGTTTCTCAACATCCCATTCAATCTCATAGCAATATTCTAATGACGGCAAAGAACATATAGATAATTTGGTATTTCTTTTCTAGTACAATTCAAGAGATGTGTATGAAATTACAAAAGAGTGAATTCTTTTAGAAATTGACTTGTCGAAAAAAGTGAATTCTTTTAGAAATTGACTTGTCGAACAAAATGATAAGATTACTTTTTGTGGGCTTGAATATGTGCAATATCGGGAGACGGATAGTGTACGTTTACGGAAAACAATTACTTTAAAAATCCCTCCAAATATTTTTCCCTTCTTTTGAGAAGGCTTCTACATTGTATCATTAATAAATTAAAAGCGCTTTTATCAGCCAAAAGCAATGTCAAATAGGCTTTTAAATGACCCACTCAAGCTCAAACTTCAATACCTATGATGATACAGCCAGCCAAATAGGATTCTAAAATGTTCTACGACAATTTGTCACACTACGGATCCTTGGGAATTGTGGTCAGTACAAAACTATTGAAGAACTCAGACTAGAATACATGAACATTCAAGCTGGGAAACTGAAGTTAGAGGCTCTTGGTTGCTACACCTTAAGCAATTCCCCCAGGATACATGTTGTACATATGAGCACAGTTTGGTGGTTTCATGTAACAGCTAGTATGCTTATGCAATAAGAAGACTGTTGAAAGCAAAACCACAGTTACTCACTCAGTCTACTGGCTCTGGATTCAAGACTGGAAGGATTCTTAGAGCAGACGAACCGAGATGCATTCCCCGAATAATTCCACCGTATCCGACCTTGACTCTGTGACACAGAATCAATATGGAGTCCCACAATGCTGTTCTTCCCTGAAAACAAAGATCAGAACAGTTATTTCTATCCAAATAATGTTTCAGAAATTCGCAGATTAGTTTCGGATGGTAAACTTTCGGTATTCTACGATATTGAATGAAGTTTAAGAACAATTTGAAGAACAGATAAGACGCTCTAGGGTTAACAACCTGAAGAGAAAGCTGAAGCTTCTTGTCCCAATACAAAGAGAAAACTGGAGGACTTTTCTTTCCAACAGCCAGTATGCAAGCTCCGGGGTGAATAATGGAAGGAACGCCATATATAATTGCTACGTACTTCTCAGGAAACCGTTCTTTTGGAGGCAGAACCCCCAAGAACAAAGGATTTTTGCTGGACTGAGCCCCAGCATAGGTTGAAGGATCCACATGTAGCATCCACTTTGGATGCTCTAGGAAAGCACAGAATAAATACAAGAGTAAGTGAGAATCGGTTGGGAGCTCAAGTGTCCATTTCTTGTTCTTCTTATCGTAAACCTCTCCAGTCCCGAGATACTCGTAATTCTTCAAGCAGGTCCCTTCAGAAAGATCTGTAGAATTCACAAATTCATTGTTAACTAAAATATATTCTACAAATTTTGGAGATCAACAAGACAGAGGGAAACTGGAAAACATAATAAACTGATCATCCAAAGCCTATGCCCACCTTTGATTCTTTGTACTGCATAATCTGCTCGAATACTACTTTGAGGCAGTAAGCCTTTGACCCATTCACCCTTCATCAAAGCAAGGAGTTTCTGGTACTCTGTAATGGCATCAACACACTCCTGCATCACCGAAACTAATGGATTCTGCTGAGGGGACTGTGGTGCGTTTGCCAGAGGCATCTTGACTGCATTAAAGGTGGATGATTGTAAAGCAAAACAATTACTATTATTATCATTATTACTACTACTTGTATTATTGTTATAGAAAAGAAAGCTTCGTTTATTGAGACCAGTGAAAAAACAAGCAAATCAATTATAACCAGAGGCCTATAAGAAACAGAAATTCTTGAAACTTCTGATCGAAATGATGGAAAGCCTTACTTGTAGAGGCATCAATGGATTGCACGAGAGTTGCTCGTAACTGGTGAAGGAGTCCATTTTCATCAAGGGTCAATGTTGGTTGCCATTCATTAGTCCTGTCAACCGAAGACACAGTGGGAGTGGATTCCGCTGAGTCGCCTACAGGACTTATAGTAATTGAGACACCAAGTTTAGCAGCCACTTCTTTTACCTTAAAAAATCAAGAAGTTTAGCAGACTAATAAGGTGTAAAGGATGTGCAACCTACCAATATCATGATCATTAGATTTGAAGTTCGGAACACATCAAGCAACTATGAAAATATCTCTCAAACACAGTTACAAATCAGCCCAGTTTGAAACTCACACAAATAAATCTTTATAAGGAGATGTACAAGGAACAAAATAGGAAAAAATCTTGTATTAACATGTATTGCTTCCATACAGCTGCTCTCTCAATAATGCACTGAGGGTGCTATAAAAGAACTAGAAAACGAGACTAAAAAATTAAAATTTTCAATTATACACATTAAATTATAGGTTATAGCACATGTTCATATTTTTTCTGTTATATATAATCTATATTTGCACCAAAAACTTCATTATCAACGAGTTAATGTGCCCAATATAGAATCCCTAAATTTTGGTGGCCTTCACTTGAGAAAACGATTGAAATTTCAGTCATGGCAAATGAAAATTAATTACTAAAGCACAGAGTAAAACAACCATACCTGAACATGACTGGTTTCAATCTTTTCAACAAGAGGATTAAGCAAAGTGGCAGAGAACCATTGCCTGAGACGATCACGCCATTCTTCAATTTGAGGATATACTCCCAAATGCTTGAAAGCTTCAACCATTTCCTCCATAGACATTGGAGAGGGAACATCACCCTCTACCTTCTTAGGGGGAGTGGTGAATTTCTGTGAACTCGGTGACATCCTTACAGGCCTCAAGGGAGTACTTCTGGTAGTTCCAGAAGTATTAGCTGAAGTAGCCACAGTACTAGGACTGGCAATACCAACACTGCTGATGGTGGGGGGTGGAGTTGCCAATTTTCCTGCAGACTCGGTTAATTTTTCATCTACTTCAGCAAGGAATCGTTCAAAGTCTTCTTCAGACGTAATTTCTTTCAGAGAGGATACTCGCTTGCTAGACCACGGGGTACAAACCACTGACTCCCGTCCTGATGAACTCTGCGCAGAAGGCAGGGGAGAGGCCACTCCGGAGACAAGATACAAGGAAGAAGCAGAACCCGGAGATTTTGAAGGTGTTGCGAAAGACTGCATTTTACTTCCACTGGTAGAGTTCAATTTATCTATGTTTCTTTGAGATGAATAACTAAAATTGCCAACTGATTGATGAAGAGGAACAAGAACATCAGAAGGTGATGAGTAGGGCTTAGATTTTGGAGGCTTTACAGCTTTTTCAGATGTCCCATTATCAAGCTTTGGTTTTAATCCCATAAGCCCCAATTGACGCTTGGAAAGAGGTGTTTGATCCTTGGTTCCTTTAGTGGCAGTTATAACAGACACAAAACCACTCAATCTTTTTCTATACAAGGATATCGCTTTGAAAAAAGCTAAGACTGTTCCCAAAAAGACTAAGCCTACCGCAGTCTGTACAGCCTTGGCAGACAAATCTGAAGCATAGAAAAATAGGATTTTAAGCAAAATCAATACAGCCATGGTAGCTCAAGTTCAAAGCAGACATAAACAAATGGAAATAATCTAGTAGCTTACAGGCTGCCTCTTCAGGAAAGTTTTTGAGCTTCAAATTGTCCACAATCGCATTTTCCCTTCATTGATTCAAGGGGGAAAAAATGGCATTAGCTTCAGTTTACTGAAAAACAGAATCCAGAGCATATAAACAATATCTAAGAACATCTTCCAGCACAACTCTTCCTCAAGTTCTCCTAATTTATCGTACACATTCAAGACAACATCCATAAAAGCCTCATTCAGAACTAACAGAAAGCTACGAAAGATTCACAGGAGTTCAAAGGAGCAGGAACTAACGGAAAGATTCACAGTCCACAGAAAACAAATATCACGACGTTCACAAAACTCAAAAACACATAAAAATTGAAGCGCAGTAGATCAAATCGTACCGGGAAAGAATACGAAGGAAGGCAAATGCAGACACGGAGGAGAGGGAGAAGATGCAGAGGAAGGTGAACTTCGAAGGTTGGAGGCTGTTGGTGGTTAGAGCGGCGGATAATGCCGGGTTTTGGTATGCCGAGAACTTCAAGGGCTTCGGAGAAGAAGAGCCGTCGGCTTTTCCTCCATTTCCGGCTGCTGCCATTCGTATGGATCAGAATTTGAGATTCAATTTAGGGTTTTGCAACACAAACAAGATTTTGATTATACTATGGCGATGAGGAAGATAAAGATGTTCATCTTTCCGGCTCGAGTCCCCTGCTCTTGAGAATGCAGCAAAACCCCCATAGCTTCCCAAGGTTCCTCTCTTTCTACATACATATACATATACATATACATATACATATACATATACATACATACATACATACATACATACATACACTTACACATATAACCCTAAACTCATATCGAACCTAGACTTTTAAATAGCCTCGAGTCTTTTGTATATCTTTTGCCTGCGTCTCACCCTTCACTAGTCCGAATGGGTGTCACTTGAGAATTGTCACCTTGTCTGCATAGTGTGAGCCATGTTAGATGAACATGACTCTCCACAATGGTATGATATTGCCCACTTTGAGTGGTAAACCTTAATCAAGGTTCGACTCCTTTTTTTCTTTTGGAGTTCTTTGCTTGACATTTGAGAATTCTATTGACATAACTAAGTTTAGAGCATTGCTCTGATACCATGTTAAATGAACACGACTCTCCACAATGGTATGATATTGTCCACTACTTCGAGCATAAGCTCTCGTGGCTTTGTTTTGGATTTCCCCAAAAGGCCTCGTACCAACGGAGAGTATTCATTGATCATAAACACATGATCATTCCCTAAATTAGCCGATGTGGGACTTTCATCAACAGCCCACAGCCTACTATCTTATAGTATGATTGTGGCATTTTCTCGCAATTAAATTAGCTACGTTGCCTTAAATTAAATATAACGTTTTTGTTTAAGAATATGTAATTGTGATTATGAACTATTATACCTATGTTTCGAATTGATTTTGAACCTAACAAAACTGATGTATCTTTATTGTTGTTATTATTATTATAATTATTATTATTTGACGAAACGGATATGAACTCAGACATCTCAATCATGAAATATGAATCTCAAAGAATATGAATTTCATTTATTGCAGATAATTACAAATTAAATTTTGAGTGGATTATAATTTATAGATCAGTAGTAAAATATAAAAGTTACAACGTTAGTAAGGGTTTTCATCTTGAGAATGAAGTAAAAAGAGTATTTATGCGATCACCGAGTTAAATTGCTAGAAATATTCAGGTTTGACATGATCGACCGTACTTGTGAAGTAATTTAAGTCTCAAACAAGTATATTATCGTAAGAGATTTAAAAAACAAGATAATTTAAATCTTAATTCATTTATTCATGGATCATATCTCAAAATTATTTCACTTATAGCCTAATTATATATATGTATATATATATTCAAATGAATAATTTCTAGTTTTACATGATATGACAAAATCTCTGACCAAAATCTATGAAACCCATCTTTGAGTTTGAGTAGTTAAGGTTTTTTCTTCGTGAATTTCATTAATTTCTCTTATTTTTATCTTCGTTGGTACTTCAACTATCTCATTAGACTCAATAATATCAAGATTGTTGAGCTCAGAGAAAGTAGGAGCTCGGTGATGGAAAGAGCTCACCATCTCTTGGGAGCTTAGGGTTCTGCTGCTGCTGCTGCTCTCGAAAACTCTCGACGACTGACGCTCGGTGACCGTGGAATGAGACGATCCTTCCTGGTGCAAACTCGAATCGAGGTCATGGTGATAGTGATGGTGATGCTTCTTTCTCCTTTGCTTCACATCTTTGTGCCATTGCTTTATGGCTTTGGCGGTGTGTTCTTCTAATGCTGCAGCTTTGAACTGTGACCCCATCTGACGATTACAACAATCATAAGCTTCATAATACAAACGTTTGAATTCCCACTTCACACATTGTTGAATTAAAGAAAAAAATATAATTAAAATAATTAAAAAATATTTTACCTGTGTGACCAGAGCATAAAGAGGTAAAGTAATGTAGCTGCACAACACTTGGACGGTGACCCTATTAATATGAAAAACAAATTATTACACAATGATTTTAAAGTTTTTTCGTAAGAAAAAATTGAAACAAAAAAAAAACGAAAAAACTAATATTAATTTTATGGACGATATACTCACGCTAAGACGACTCTTATGATGATGACCTCCAAGTGTTCGTGGTAGCAAGATTTTATCCCATATTGTAGCTGAAAATGTAAAGTTTAAAAACGTCAAATTACAAGTTTAGTCCTTGAATTCTTATCCATGGACCCTATCGTACACAAAATTTATTTGTGCATGATAAACCTTGACGTTTCGATTTTTAAAAAAATGTCTATTGTGATTGTGTCAGGGATACGTATTTAAAGCTCTCCCGAACCAATTCAAAGACTAAAGTTACAATTTGACCAATAAAGAAAAATCATGGAAAGGATAATGAAGGATAATAAAGATTTTTACCGTAACCCAGATGAAAAACGAAAATTCAAAGGCGTTCTGAAAAGAAAAAGAAGATCAATTAGAGATAAAGACATGTTTCGAATGACTTTCTACAGATTTTTAAAAAACATGTTTTCAAATCGTTAGAAAGTCATTGAAAAAGTATGCTAAAGTTTACCATGAACAAAGTGAAATGAAGAAGGGTGAGAACAAATTTGGGGTGATTGAACCAGAAAAGATCATCACTAGGTTCCACCATTGGAGCTCCTTTGATCACATCGGTCTTGTCTTGAAGCTCAAGGGCAAGCCTTGCTACTATTACTTCAAGTTTTGTTCCAAGAGCTAGCACTATCTACAAATACACCCACAAAACATTATAATTAAATTTTTATAATCTTTCCTCTTTTCTGAGTTAAAGCGCACTACTTTCGTAATCGTCTAAGCCCACCGCTAGCAAATATTGTATTCTTTGGACTTCCCCTCAAAGTTTTAAAATGCGTTTGGTTTTCACATCGTTATAAAAGATGTTTGTTGGAGAGGAGAATGAAACATTTTTTATAAAGAATGAAACGTATTTTAAAAACCTTGATGAGAGCTTAGAAGAGAAAACTCAAAGAGAACAATATCTACTACCAGAGTGGGCTTGAGACGGTAAATTATAAACTTACAATTAGTGGAAGGAAAGACACCCAGAGATACGCATTCCAACCTGTTCATCGTGGTCATATATAAAACTTTTTTTTAGCCGAATTTAAACCAAAAAAAAAAATCTTTATTTTATCATTAAAACAAAATAAAAGGCTCAAGCTTTTAAATTAATGGGTAGAAAAACTCACCATGAACATCTACAAGAATGAAGATGACTACCATAAGCCACATGAAAGGACTGTCATATCAAAGGAAAAAAAAAAGGTCAACGAATAAGTTAAAAAGGGTATTTTTTTTTTTGTTGGCCGAGGTAATAACTTTTTGAAGGCCGAATTGAATAATTTACCTGATGCCGACCACGACTTTGAAATCATCGTGCAATGATCTCTCAATATATTTTTGAAAGTTGAAGGAAGTATTTCCCTGTATATGAGTCTGTTTAAAAAAAAGTAGAAAAAAAATGATGGTGAATATTTTTTTAACAAAGAGATGTTTCTATGATTCAAAATGCTGTAAAATTGAATATGGTAAAGAGATTTAACCGAGATGAAACCATGGCGAAGGGTCAAGTAGTCGACTTTGGCCACCGAACGAAAGAACTGTCTCAAGAAGCATTTCTGCAAATTTTCAATCAAAATTAAATTTTTTTTAAAATAATAATAATATTTTAGTAGCTAATATTAAAACTTAGGTATGTAAATAAAAACTGTAAAGATAATTTAGTAAATATTAAAAATAAATATTTCGTGTTCTTGTTTTAAGATTATGAAATTCAATCCCGAGTACACGAGCTTATAACAACTTTTAAGATTATGAAATTCAATCCCGAACATTTAAATTCAAGAAAATATGAAAGTAACATAAATGAGTGAGAAAACTTACTATCCAGAGAAGAAATGGTGGTGTTGCACAAGAACTGATATGCCGACGTCCGAATGTTGTTTGCCTTGTAAATCTAAAGCGATGCGGATCTAATAATTGGGAAGTTAAATCAAAATTAAGCACACAAAACACTTACAATTTTCATTTAATAATGCAGTTAAATTATCAAAAATACCCCTAAACTAAAAGATTAATTTCAATTATACTCCTTAAATTTGAAGTCTTTTTTTTCCATTAAAAACAACCCTAAAACGTTTATGTTATTAAATTCATGAACGGAAAAGTTCGTATCTAATTGTTTGTTATGATTAAATCTATTTACATACGTGAAGAAAATTTTAAGATTATTTTAAAAAAAATTCAAGAGCATTTTTGATAATTTAACCTAAATAATGCTAGTTTAATGTCTATACCACAATAAAAATGAAATAAAATTGGTTGAATTACCATTGGCCACTTGATAATCCAATGTATGAGTTTCTTCTTCCCAAGCTTTCCAGCGTCTCATCTGTTTAAATTTCATTAAAAAAAAAAAAAAAATTAAAATCATATAAACTATATGTATAAAATTATATGTTCAATTAATATAGGAGAGAAAAGTCAATATATGGCATTCAAATCAATAGTACATAAATTAATGAGTATGCATAAAAATTCAAATATTGTCGCATTCACACCCAAATTTAATTCAACACTCAGAAACCAGATTGACTTAGACCGTGGACCAATAATATTTGATTTACCTCACAAAACGACAATACTTACCTGCCGTTTTGAAGCATTCTACTGCTAAGTACTAAAAAAAAATGTATTTTCTACTCTCTATTATTATTATTTAAACACAATGTATTCTCGACCGTAGAATTTTTTAAATTATTTTGGAATTAACATTTCTATATTAATAATATCATAGTTTTTTTTATTTTCTTAAAATATAATTGTAGTCACTATAGTTTAATATTTATATTAATTATGTAACATAAAACTAATGGACACATGTTTTTGCTCATGGAGTTTTATTTGTTATTTAATAGACACGTGTTTTGATCATTTACTCGGTTTATACTTTAGGAATAACCAATTCACAAAGGGTTGGAAAATCACAAGAGAGACTATAACTAATCAACCCGATCACATATTGTGTTATCTAGATTGTGCTTCTTAGTAGCTATCTGGCATTCAATGTATTGGGATCTAGAAATATTTTGTGATGCACGTACAAGAAATCTTTTTTTGGATTTACCCAAAAAAAAAAAAAATTAATTCATTTATTTCTCTTAAGGTTATTTCGATTTTGGTGCATTTCATGTAACCAAATTTTATGGTTCGGGAATATGGGTATCCAATCCTTATGGATTAACGGAAAGGATAAAAGCTATAAACCCCACATTGTGTGGGGGTGTGGAAGAAATATATGTGAATATGAAATATATATATATTATTTTTTTAATTAATGTACCTTTGCTAAATAATTTTTTCTCTAATTTGATACTAGTATTTTTTGAATTTTTTAAAAAATTTAAAAGTATATTTGAAATTTTTTTAAAAAAAAATGTGGTTATTAATAAAAAAAATTTAAAAAAAAAATTAACAAAGTGTAAGTATACATACATACATACATATATATATATATATATATATATATATATAGATATATATATTGAAAATTTAAGCATAATTTTTAGGCATTTTTTTAAATATAGGTATATTATTGAAACGTTTAAAAAAATATAAATTTAAATTTTGAAAGAAATACAAATTTTTTTATTAATTTAGGAAAAAAAAAACCAAAATTATTGTTCTTTTTAGTGTTAAAAAATTAAAATAGATATTTTAAAGGCGGAGGGACTAAAATGCAATAACTCCAAACTTAGGGGAGTGAAATGAAATAAATAAATAAATAAATAAATAAATAAATAAATAAATAAATAAATAAAAAAGATAGAGATAGAGAGAAAAAAGACCTTGGCCTTTCCTAACGCCATGGTGAGAAGGCTGTAAAGAATCTGCATAGCTGCCAACACGAATATGAAATTGTTCAATTGATTCATTCCTCCTTGCGATATCAGCGACGCCTTCCCCTGCCATTGTAATTCACGATTCACCAATCAATTCCTCACTGACCAACAACGAACTTGATTCCGAATTTTGATTCGCTCAGTATTTTCCAATCATTACCTTCGCACTACAGTAATCAGAAGAAGAAGAAGAAGAAGAAGAATCACCGCTACTAGACGATCGCAATTGCTCCATCTCCAAATTCTTATTCGCTTTGATCTGTATTTCTCTCTGGCACGGAAGCATCGTAAACGCTACGCTATTCGGAATGCAAATCTTCGATACTGGCTGTTGCGTAACCGTCAGAGTTAGCGACATGAACCCTAGAAGCATCAAAACTGCGGCATCGACGAAGAAATACAGATGCAGAAATCATTAATCCTCCGATTCTCATTCTCTTAACTTCATCATTCGATTTCAGGATTCGGAAATCGTACCTGATTTCAGCTTCTCAACGGCCTCGAACAATGCCGTTTTCCTCTTCCGCTTCAACCACTGCGCAAAATCAAAATCAAAAGCAAAATCAAAATCCAATCGACCTCTGTAAACTGAATCAGAAACTAGATTTGGACTTACATTGGAGAGGAGATGAATCAAATGCTCGAGGAAGAGGGAGAGGGAGATGAAGATAAAGCAAACCGCAGCCACGGCCCAAGTCGGCGTGAATTGCAGGGAGGAAGGATCCAGAGCAGCAGCAGCGGCGGCCATTAAAGCAAAGGAAAATCAATCCGGAGAAGAAGGAGAAGAGATGTTGATTCTGTAGAGGCGCGAAATGGAGATGATTTAATATCGACAATGAAAGTGTTGAGAGTTATGGGGCCATTGAAGTTGAAGCTTTGGCGCCAGTACTTCTGGTGAAGGCTTTGACTGAGGCGCCGTGTGGTTGAGAATTTTGATTTTTAATGCCCTTTCTGGCAAAACTACCTATTTATTTATTTATTTATTTATAGTCCCTATAATTTTATTTTATTTTTTCTTATTTTACTTTTATAAGAAAAAGACATTTGAGCTAGTTTTTTTTTTTAATTAAAATTTATGAATATTGGAAAATATATTCCATTCTAAACTTATTTTGTGCCAAAACTTTAATTCATGAGATTTTTACGTGGAAGTATGAGCGTAATTATGCTATAATTGCCCGATTTATTTAAATTTAGGTCCAATAACAACATTCCTATGATTTGATAATCTGAACCAGCTGAACTATAAAGGTTGAATTTATAACCATGATTAGTATAACAGCTCAAGTTCACTTCCCGTACATATTGTCCTCTTTGGCTTTTTCCTTTTGAGTTTCCCCTCAATGTTTTAAAATGCGTATGCTAGTGAGAGGTACAAAGAAGGTTTAGTTTTCCTCTCCAATCAATTTTGGGATCTCACAGGATCTCACCGTTAGTGATGCATTATAACTTTGTAAATATTTGATATTTAAATTTTACGAAATTTTGATTATAAGATAGAATTTTTTTTAAAAGATAATTAAATAAAAAAATAATAATTTAAATCCAATTCAATCCAACTGAAATTTCAATCGATTGTAAACTTGTTCGACCCAATAATCCAACCAATCCAAAGATTCATTTAAGAGATTAAATTATTTAAATTTGATAAATCCCAACAAAATAGGTCCAAAAAAGGTCTCTTGCTATTATTTCAAAATTTAAAATGTAATTTTGATTTAAAATCACATTTTAGTTTCTTTTTTGTTTTTTTCATGCATATCAATGAAGCGACACGTGTGTTAAGTTTCATTACACCTCAACACGCGGTTTTTAAAATCATTAATTTCTTCTATCTACTTTTCACACCTTTTTTTTTTTAAATTATAATCTCACATTTAATTCATTTATTTTATATTTACGCTAAATTAATAAAAATATTCATAAATTTAAAATGCAATCTAAATTATAATTTTTATGTAATTGTGATAAATTTGTATCACTCTCATTTTTTTTCTTCTTTTTCTTAGTACAAGAAGATCGGGAAGGACGCACCTCTGGTGTATCAGTTATCGTATCCACAGTAAATGTTGGGTAGCTAAGTGCAAATCAGATAACTTCTAAAAACATGTAAATAGTAAGTCCACCCCAAAATGAGTACTCTCCTATTACGACTTCTCCAGAGCCTCCAATAGCATAGTCGAGACAATGATGAGTTCTTTGCTCTTGCAAGGATAGAGTGACAAAAGTTTTGAGAATTCAAGAGAATGTCACGACGAGATGAGCCGTTTATTATCAGTGTCAATTACTTTTTTTTTTTTTTTTTCAACGATCATGTTAGAGTCCCCACAACTTTTTGGAATGTCAAAAATACCCTTAAAGTTTGGATTAATATTATGTGGAGATTTATTATTACTATTATTATTAAAACAACATATTATTTTCTAATTTAAATTATATATATATATTAATTATTGGCATCCTTTTCCTTGGTCAGCTGTTTACACGATCCAATATTATATTCATTTATTTAATTTAATATTATTTTATAAATATTTCTTAAAGAAAAATAAAAACAAATATTATTCATTTTATAATGGACGCATTAGTTTAAATTATTTTATATTTAAATAATAAAGTTAGAAAAAGAAAAAAAAAACATAAAAAAGACAATTCTATTTCTAATTATATTCAAACTCATTCTATTTTTAAACATTTAAATTTGTATTTTATTTTTTTAATAATGTAACGGAGTAGCCAAGAAATGTTTATTTATTTTAATAATTATAAGTTGGGTATATAATATTTGAAGTATTAGATACAGAATCCTTCTTCTCATAATGATTTGTATATAATATGTACCACAAACATGTCATTCATTCAAATTTTTTTATTTTAATTTTAGGTTAAATTAATAAAAATGTCGGTAAAGTTGATATTTTATCTAAAAAATACGAGTGAAGATTGAAAAGTTTGAATAATACTCTTGAAATTATATATAAAAAAATTAAAAGAAATACTCTTAAACTTAACTTTTTTTTTTTTTTTAGTTTTGCAGGTAAACCGTTAATGTTTTATCTCAAAAGAACCTTCGAGCTTTCGTAAGTGTTAAAAAAATGTCTTTGAATTTTCGAAAGTTTCATTGATATCTTTAATTTTTTTTTTTTTAAAAAATCTTTCAAAAATACCTTTAAATTTTTTTTAAAAAAGTTAAAAAATACTCTTACGGTAGGTATATAAACAGATTGTTAGCATAAGTTTAAAAAACGTCCATAAACTTTCAAAAGTATCATTTTAACTTATTTTTGAAAAAGATGTAAAAGTTCTTGTCGTGGACAAAAACTGTTTATTTATATTTTATAGACCATTTGCCATGACTAACTTCTCATTCATCGTATATATACAACTTTTTAAAAAAATTACTCTTATTAATATATTTTACACCAATTCCTTATCAGTTCCGATTCATTTCAATATGAACAAAAATGTAATAGATTCAATTCAATTGACAAAAAAAAGTACCGAACAAAGGAATATATTAAGAATCGATGATCGAATAAAAGAATTTTTATTTTAGACAAAAACAATTCAAATAGAATTGAAGGGGAATGTGTAAATTGAAGCAGAATGTGTACAATAACATAAACTGTAAGCAGAATAAGGTGAGTTTCAAAAATACTGAACTTTCAAAAGCGTTCCAAAATATCAAAGTTCAAGAATATTTTCTATATAGTTCACCGATAACTTTTCATTTCGCTCCCACTTTTGAAGCGATGGTCATTTTACTCCTTAATTTGATAAACTAACATATTAAACTAATTACAGGGGTAAAATAAAAACATTTTCCCGTAGTAAAAATAACTAAACTTGGGGGGAAAGAGTAGGGGAACATCTGGGGACATTTTTACCATGAATTAAGAAATAGCTAAAGTGAAGCAACCTCTTGGTTATGAAGTTACAAGTGGATGCAAAAGCTGGTTCTAGAGTTTCAAGCCTGAATGGATAGCAACCACTCCTCCAACTAGATTTTCGTACTCGACCTTCTCGAAGCCTGCATCGACGATCATGGAAGCAAATTTCTCCTGCATCCCACCAAATCATTAATAAGGAAAACAGTAGGGGAAACTAATATGAACAAACTAAAGCTATTGTCAAAGTGAACGTAGCTACCGTTACTAATTCAATGCTCAGATAACCAAATAATAAGAGGGACATATCCCACCCTTGTGTATTTAGGAAAGTTTATCAGAAACAAGACTTGAATGATTATAATAACTCTTCATGATCTTTATCATAAAAGCTAGGGGTTGGTCATGAAAACTAGTATGAACAAACTAATCCTATCGCCAAAGTGAGCATAGTTACCAGTTACTGATTCAGTGATGAGATAACTAAATAATAATAGTAACATATCCCACCCTTTTACCTTTGGGAAAGTTTACCAGAAACACAAGACTTGGAATGATTATAATAACTCTTCATGATCGTTATCGTAAAAGCCAGAAGTTGGTCATGGAAACTGGTATGAACAAACTAATCCTATTGCTAAAGTGAGTATAGCTACCCGTTACTGATTCAGTGCTCAGATAACCAAATAATAATAGAACATATCCCCCACCCTTTTGGCCTTTGGGAATGTTTACCAGAAACAAGACTGAAAGATTATGATAATACATGATCTTTATCATTTTAAAACCGAGGTTGGTCATGGAAACTAGTATGACCACACTAATCCTATCGCCAAAGTGAGCACAGCTACCAGTTACTGATTCAGTGCTCAGTAACTAAATAATAGCAGTGACATATTCCACCCTTTTTGCCTATCAAAAAGTTTATCAGAAACAAAAGACTGAAATGATTATAATAATTCTTCAAGATCTTTATCATAAAAGCTAGGGGTTGTCATGGAAACTAGTATGAACTAACTCATCCTATCGCCAAAGTGAACATAGTTTGCTCAGATAACCAAATAATAAGAGGAACATATCGTACCCTTTTGCCTTTGGGAAAGTTTATCAGAAACAAAAGACTCGAATGATTATAATAACTCTTCGTAATCTTTATCATAAAAGCCAAAGGTTCGTCATGGAAACTAGTATGAACAAACTAATCCTATCGCCAAAGTGAACGTACCTACCAGTTACTGATTCAGTGCCTAGATAACTAAATAATAATAATGACATATCCCACCCTTTCCAAAAGTTAACTAGAAACAAAACACTGGAATGATTATAATAATTTTTCATGATCGACTTAGCAAGTCAAATGATGTCCAATCAGAAGCTGACAACCACGTAAAGCTGCAGAGCTTCTCAAGGCTAGAGTCACACTAAAGCACAAAAGTCATTTGGAACTCAAGTGCAAGGCGCAAGGAAAAAAAAAAAAAAAAACAAAATTTGTGTATTGGAGTATCAGTGCCTCAAAACAAAATTATAGTAATGCCATGCTTAATTAATAATAATTGAAGGTATTCTTGAAATTGTTAAACAGCGCATACTGATATGATTGTTACTTTTCACAACTTCAAAGGACTATCACCTGTGGGGGAAATCGACGGATGCTTTCAACCAAGTATTGATAGGATTCCCGGTCACCAGCAACTAGCTCTCCAACGGCTGGAATGATAGAAAACGAATAATAGTCATACCTGCACCAGAGGAGGGCAATTCAAGTTAAAACTTAATCGCTAGAAGATTCTAATGTTAATATCTAGTGTATCCTAGAAAAAAGAAAATTAGTGAAGTCAAAGACTTCACGCTACCAAGGGCTTGATTAAGAGGATTATTGTAACGGCCCAAGCTTACCGCTAGCGGATATTGTCCTCCTTGGGCCGGTTATGTATTGTCATCAGCCTCACGATTTTAAAACGCGTCTACCATAGAGAGGGTTTAGCCCTACTCCGACAAGTGTCTCGCACCGTCCG